TATTGTTGACCTTATGTATTAGGAAGTTAAATGAAACGAAATTTCTTAACTGTTGCTTACCACGGCCAAGAAGGCACACCAGCAAAATAGTAACGCAATACCCAACATAGAGCTTCCACATATTTTTCAAGCTTGAAATATTATACATAAAAATAAATTCAGCATAAAAAATATAAAAGGAGAAATTTTTAAAACAGCCCATTTTTCAATTTTATTGGGCAAAATCTACCGTCTCACAAAATAATTAGCAAAACCGACCTAAAATGGTCGATTTTGCAGTTACGAAACTGCACGGGACTAGTAGTCCCGTGCAGTCCGCCTACCCCACCCCCCCTTTCGTCTTTTCTTTCGTTTTCAGCCTCGTCGACCCCGCCGCCGACCACCGCCAGTTGCAGTCCCCGCCGACCCCGCCGCCGCTCTAGTTCGTGACCGATCCTTCGACCCCCGCCGCTCTCGTCTTCGAGCCTTCGACCCCCCCCCAAAAAACCCTAGCCTTCGAGCCTTTGCCGCCGACCCCGCCGCCGCTCTCGTGACCGATCCTTCGACCCCCGCCGCTCTCGTCTTCGAGCCTTCGACCCCCCCCCAAAAAACCCTAGCCTTCGAGCCTTTGCCGCCGACCCCGCCGCCGCTCTCGTGACCGATCCTTCGACCCCCGCCGCTCTCGTCTTCGAGCCTTCGACCCCGCTGCTGCTAAAGGTATTATAGATTTTAATTTTTATACTGGGTTTCTGGTTGATTTTGGGGTTCTGGAAATGAGTTTTTTTGATAATTTGGGAATTTGATGGGGCTTTTTTGTTCTTTTTAATTGATGCTAATTTGAGTTATTTATTGGATTTTGTTCGTTGAGGGGTATTGTATAGGTTGAATAATGTGATATAATGTGATTTGGGAGTTAGGGTTTAGCCATTATTTGGGATTGATTAAGGTAATAAATTTGATGTTGATTTATTCAGATATTAATAGATTATTTGCATATGATGGACTGTGTATTTTCAGTTTCGATGACGAACTCCATATCCATTATTTGTTTCTTTAATGGGAGCCTCGGCGTCGGAGTGAATAATTTGCCGGTGTATGATGGAGGTTCTCGGAAAATGTTCATGCTATCTAAGTCGTGTAATTTTGATGGAATGACTAGGGAAATACACAGAGTTACTAAAATTAAGAAAGAAGAATATACAATTAGGGTGTTCTTCAACTGTCCGATAAATGAGAGTAGAACTATTGCCGTGGAGATTACCGAAGATGAGGAATTGAATGACATGAAACAATTAGTCGAGAAGCAAGCGTCAATTGAGTTGTTTATTGAGAAGTATCCGATTCAGGAATTTGCCCAAGTTTCACGACCTCAAGGAGAGTTTTCTCGGATGCTTGACTTAGACAACGAGTCGATTGGTTTTATGACATCTCCAAGTCAAGAGCCATGGTCTCAACCACAACATTTAAGTGAGTATTCTATCGGTGGGACGTCAACTAATATATTTAACGACGCTTCAGGTCATGTTACGGGTTACCCACCAGTCGGAGCAATTATAGAAGATGAAGCAGATGATGATTCAGATCATTTTGAAGAAGATGGCGTGCAAATTGATAGCATGCATGTGGCAGCTGGAATCGATGATGACGCCCGTTGGATGGAGCAATTTAACGTTAACAATGATTATGTGGAAGCTGAAGATCCGTTGCCCGACGAGTTTCATAATGAGGATTGGATAAATACTTCTCAAGCTGGATTTGTTGATGTTGGGCCAAATTTACAACGACCTGAGGACTTCACTTTTAAAAAAGGGGATCTATTCGAGAGCAAGGAGGCACTGATCTTTGCAATCCGAGAATGGTCCATCAAGAATCGGGTCAAATTCAAGCCGGTAAAAACTAATGCAACAAACTACAATGTGAAATGCTTCTTTAACGATAAGAATGAAGTAGAGAACGCAAATGAGCAAGATGAGAGAAATAAAAAATGTCCTTGGTTGCTAAATGCCGCTGTGAGAAAATCATCAAATGGGCAATTTGTAATATGTAGATATTGCGGACTTCACACATGTTGCAACCCGTCGGTGGATGTCGATGATTATTCTGCATCTTCTTCTTATATATGTAAGCTAATTATGCCTGAAGTTAGAGCTGAACTTGATCTGAATGCAGGTCAGATATTTCAGAGGGTATATGACATGCGGGGGATTAAGATATCTAAATATAAGGCATATGATGCAAGGAGGAAAGCGTTGTCTAAAATTTTTGGAGATTGGGAAAAATCATATGAATTACTTCCACAGTATCTTGAAGCTATCAAACGAAATAATCCGGGTACTGAATACGAAATATTATCCGAAGAGATTGCACCGGGTATGGAGAGGTTCACTCGCGTGTTTTGGGCATTTGGTCCTGCTATTAAGGGCTTCACTTTTTGTCGTCCGCTATTGAGCATTGATGGTACACATTTATATGGAAAGTACAAAGGCGTGCTTCTTGTAGCGACCGGTGTAGATGCAAATGGCGGGTTATTTCCTCTAGCATTTGCAGTCGTGGAGGTGGAGGATACGTCTAGTTGGAAGTGGTTTTTTGAACTTATATACAAGTGGATTCCAAGTGTCCGTGCGCCAAGAATAATTACCTTTATTTCGGATAGGATGAAAGGAATTATAAGGGCGTTACATGAGGGTTTTAGTGCACCACATCACCATCGATATTGTTTAAGGCATATAAGAGATAATTTCAAGAAAAAACACGGTGAGATTAATTTGCAAAATCTTTTGTGGCAAGCCGGGTGTGCGACCGACACATTAGTGTATGAACATTGCAGGGAGAAAATCAAGTCTTTGTCATTAGATGCACATAATTGGATTGAAAATAACTTGAAGCCTCAATTCGAGCATCGGTGGGCATTATGTAAGGATGAGGGTGTGCGGTTTTGCATGATGACGACTAATTGCTCCGAGAGCTTTAACGGCGTTCTTAAAGGAGCACGAGCTATGCCAATACAATCTTTGGTTGCGAGAACATTCTATAGACTAAACGCATACTTCAACAAAAGGCGTGGTGATGGCATAGACTGGACAACACGTTACACACCAAAAAATGAGTCCATTTTGCATAGAAGAATTGAGGCAGCAAGATCATGTCAAATTACTGTATTCAACGACAACGAATGGCAGGTACAAGATTGTGACGGTATCTACACCGTTAAACTATTTGATGTTGATTGCACTTGCACATGTAACATACCACAACTCCAAAAAATACCCTGTGCACATGTGCTTGCGGCTTCTTCTAATCAGCCGGGAGGTGCTAGAATTCCCAGAAATCGGTATTGCTCGCCTTGGTATTCAACAGCTCACTATCAAAAGACATATAGTGAGAGTTTTCATCCACCTGATGATAGTCGGTATTGGCCTGAATATAATGGACCACATATAGTTCCACCTCAGTACCGGAGACAAGCAGGTCGACCACGATCTGTGCGAATTAGGGGAACCATGGATCAAGGGCGAGAAGGAGTGGTCAAGCACAAAAAATGTAGTCTTTGCAAACAACCGGGACATACTCGACCTCGTTGTCCATCTAGACACAATAGATAGCAACTAATTGGTAATTTATATCATTTTTTTATTTTTATATACTTTAATAAAGAAACTGAATTACTATATGATTGATTATTAACATGTGTATAATTATATGTGCAGGTTTGTACACCATGGATCCTGGGCCGGTTAGTGATGAGGTCTTATATGACCAGGCTCAGCATCGTTCACATATTATATCCTGTACAGAGGTAATTCAGTTACTTTATAATTGTAATATTTGCATTTACATAATATTGCATTCTTATACTATCATTGTCTATACAGAGAGGTCCGAGTATCGTTATGGTTGATCATAGCCTCAGCCATAGCCGTTGGCGGTTAGAGGATGAGCGTATCATAGCAGCTGTGGGACGGGCCGGCTTCTTGACTTGTTCAAAGCTTCGTTGGATAAAGCTCGATTGGCCCCTACTGATTGCGTTGATGGATAGATGGAGACCTGAGACCAATACTTTCCACTTCCGGATGGACGAGGCTATCATTACTCTACAAGATGTAGCCGTGATACTCGGTCTCCGTATAGATGGTCCGTGCATTACCGGCACTGATAGTGATGTATGGCCTCGAAGATGTGAGGAGTTGTTAGGTGTAGCTCCAGAGCCTATGCCTCGAGGAAATATTAAGTTGAAGTGGTTGAGAGAGATCTTCTCAGTACCGTTGCCTGTTGATGCCCCACAAATTTTGGTTGACCAACATGCACGTGCATACATTATGCACATGATTGGTACTATATTATTTCCAGATTCAAGTAAAGATAAAGTGCATGCGAGGTATGTGTATTTATAATATGAATCTGTATTTCATTGAATTAGCTTATTTTAATAAATTGGAATATTGTGAATATGCTAGGTGGTTACCACTCCTCGAGGACTTGGACGTATGTGGTACAAAATCGTGGGGTAGTGCTGTTTTGGCGTATTTATATAGAGAGATGTCAAAAGTGGCACTTATGCAAAACAGTGAGCTTAAAGGGTGTCTAAGCTTATTGCAAGTATGGGCATGGGAGAGACTTCATTTGAAGCCGAGACTATGCACGCATTTACAATTAGATGGACAAATTCCACTGGGATGCAGGTATTGTATTTTTTATGTAGCGAATATAATTGTAGTTATCATTGTGGTACTAAATGTATGACAAACATTTTTTTGTAGATGGAATGTCGAAAAATGCTATGACGAGACCCCGGCTAGACAATTGGATTTCTACCGGAATGAGCTTGACCGTATGAAGATTTTTCAGGTAATTCTCACCGAAAAACATGCGTTTTTTTTTCTACATACTGAAAACCCAATTCTGATATGCAACTGCATTAAATTATTATAGATGGAATGGGAGCCCTACACCCAATTTCTACCTCAGCTACCCCCAATATGCACAGAATACCAAGTTGTATGGAGAGCTAGAGTTCCTCTTATATGTTTGGAGATAGTAGAAATGCATGTACCGGACCGCGTGCTTCGACAATTTGGTCGTGCACAACATGTTCCGCAGTTTGTTGAAAAGATAGAGAGGAAGGCAAAAAAAGGAGGCCAGCAAATAAACTGGATGATCGTGCATCAAGCTTTTATACACAGATGGAATGATAGGCATTTTTGCATTGTCAACCAAATTGAACCAACTCCTCGGGAATCAGATTACTACACTTGGTATTGGGGCATAACTCGAAGATGGATACTTCATTCGACCACAATACCGGTTGAGTCGCAAAGAGGATATGTCCCCCGGGGTATAGATGAGAGAGAATTAGTAAGTATTTTCATATTTTGATCTAAGTCCATTTTTATTGGTACTTTATGTGTTGAAAAATTTGCAGGTATCAGCAATAGATGAAGTTCAAACTCTTGCAAATCGTGGCTTGGAATTGGCTCGAGCAGGTACGATAAAATTAAATCTCAAATTTACATTCTGTTATATCAAATTTAATATGAAATTTTGTTTTTGAACTATCTATCGCAGGTAGAAATCCCGAAACACATGAACATGTATCAATATATCAGGCTATAATGCAGAGGCTTCAACAAGCCTTACACCGAACTCACGAAGATCGTCATGATGGACGGGAGGTAACGCCATTCGTATATACACGACAACAGCGACAAAGTCGAGGACGACGCAGAAATGACGATGAAGCTGGACCTTCCCAACGTGTTGACGATGGAGCTGGACCGTCACAACCACAAACGCAACCGGATCACGAACTCGTCGAAGGGCGGTATGGAGGACGACGAAGCCAAAGGAGGAGGAGGAGAGTTCTTGGATGTATGTAAACTACAGGTTATATACATTACAAAACTATTTAGGGATGTGGTTTTTGGATTTGTAGTCGATAATATCGTGTGATATGTTTGATTTCTAAGTGGGTTTGTGGTGTTATTATGTTGGATTTGTTAGTGGGAGTTTGTGGTGTGATGTGATTTGTTTGATTTGAAATGAGTATGTGGTGAAATCAGTATGTAATTTGTTAGTGGGAGTTTGTGTGGATGTATGTAACGGGACTACATGAAATGTAGTGGTGAAATGAGTATGTGACTTGTTAGTTGATGTTTGTGTTGATGTATGTACAGGAACGGCTTAAAATGCAGCCAGAAAGTGCACAAAAGTGTGCACAGCAAGTGCACGGGACTAGCAGTCCCGTGCACTTGCTGTGCACCTAGTCTCGAGTCCTCTCTGCTTAAAAGTCGGGATTGCTAGTCCCGACTTAGACTTTTAAGCAGAGAGCCCAGCCGCTGGTCAAGACCAAGTGCACGGGACTAGCAGTCCCGTGCACTTCGTAAAACACATTCGGCTGCAAAACCGACCCTTTTCTTCAGAAAAGGGTCGGTTTTGCTAATATTTTTCACTTTAGGTCGATTTTGCCTATTAAATTCTAAAAAAGGTTGGTTTTAAAAATTTCTCCAATATAAAATTCCGAGAGTAGAACAGAGAAAGGTCAAGGAAAATCCAAAACCCACTACCTTCTTTCAAATACTTTCAATCTCTATTGGATTGTCTGCAGAAAACTTTACTTTATAATACCTCTCTTTTCATTCATTATTTCTGAGCATAACCTGTATATGTTGAGAAAAACAAATCAGGGGGGGGGGGGGGGAAAAAAAAACAAATCAGGGGGAAAATCTATGCTCCCAACATGAGAATATATACGGCAACAAATTATTGAACACACCTTATCATTCTCTAGAAGACCGTTCTTGAACAAGTCTGATTTATTTCGAAGATGGTCCTTTAATTTTTGTTTTAGTTCCTTGGTATTTTGAAGAACCTACAAACAAAGTGATGTTATACTAGTGAATCTCAATTAAAGATAAGCACAAGTTTTTATCTCATGAAATCCTCTCAAGATTTGTAGTAAAGATAAGCTTAGAGATACTTTCAGGTGAAGATATTAGATAGATGGAAATAAATTGTGCAACCACTTACATCAGATTTATCAGTGCCTTCAACTTTTGAGCTTATTGACATTTGTTTATAGGAATTTGAATCCCTTGAAGTTGAACATTCTTTTGAATAAGGCCGAAAGAGATCAGAGAACATGCTGTGAAGAATGTAGGCATTTTTGTGAAGGTATATGCTCAGATAATTGTATCTTCAATCTTATCGCTCTCTTGTTTACTGATTTCAGTGAAATCCCTAGTCAGAACATTGTGAACCCCAACTAATTATAGTAATACACTAGCAATTGATGAATTATAGCCACCAATCTCAACCATGAAGAGGGATCTGGAATAAAATTCCTAGTGTTACCCATGAAAAATGTACTCTTCATCACCTGGATAGAATGTTTCATCCTCAAACCTGTAATAAAATGTACAATCCAGTGAACTCCTCCACAATCCTCATCTAACAACCACCAAACACCAACAAATACTCAAATTTAGGGTAAAATTAGACATTACAACAATTAACTAAACAATTTTTTCGAAAAATTGCAATAAATGCAGGATATTCCAAAACTAGGGTTCAAGATGTCTTTAAATTCAAACGCTACGACATATAATCAAGAAAATCGAAGGGATTCATCGCAGAAACCCTAGAAAATTGCTAAAAATGCTTAATATAGAGGTTTAATTGCTAAATATACTCAAAATCGAAGTAAAGAAATGCGTCAACTGAGCAAAGAATATACAAGGGAAATAGAAAGAGGAAATGAGACCGATACCTTTTTTTTTTAGTCGTGTGGAGGTCTCGACGGCGGTCCTTGAAGACGGGGAGGATGTGAGGAGAGGCGGTGGACAAAGGCAAATTGAGGAGAGGTGGCTGACGAGTTTGGATGGTCGGCAAACAAGCGAAGGTGTCGAACGAAGGGAAGTGAAGGAGAGGCAGTGGACGGAGGGAGCCAAGGGGAGGAGGGAAACACGAGGTGGAGATCGTCAAGGATGAGCGTGAGTGAAGGGGAGGCGGCGGGCTTTGCTCCGTCGAGGAGAACTGGCGGACGAAAAAGAGATCGACACGAGAAAAATCCTAGAGACGCGGTGATTTGTTTTGATGGGGGGAAGTTGTAAAACCCCGATAATTTATGAATAATATAAGTAATGTGTGATAAATTATGATAGGTGGATATTTAGTATGATAAATATCATTTTATGGTATATGAGTATAATACCATGTGTTTTGAGTATGAACGAGTTCATACATGAGAGAGAAAAGATTTGAAACATGAACAAATGGCCAAACATATGGAAGCTGGAAATGTCCGGTCCAGTCGACCGCTGCGGTCGACCGCAGCCTGGTCGACCGCCACGGTCGACCGCGATACCTGCAGTTTATTTTTCTCCTGTTTTGAGTTGGTTTCGGATTTCTAAAACCATATTTGTTTTCCCCTGATATATATATGGGTTTTTCACGTTTTTCTCAGTTTCCCTAAGAACCCTAACAGCCACCAAAACCCCCCAAACCCTAGTTTGATTTCTTGGAGAAGATTGAAGGCTTTCAAGTGGATTTTCGGGTGATTTTTGGCTTTTGGAGTGGAGATTTCCTTCAACGTTGCTTCTAACACGTTTTCCTACAACCCCAGGAGAGTATCATCTCTGCTAATCCCCCTCCTAGTTTTCAAAATATTTTTTTAAAGAGTTTTAAACATGTTTTGTAGAGCCTAAATGACTAGTTTATGAATAAAGTTAACTTCTTTTGTATTATATGTAAAGAGACTAGGTCTTTCTATGCTAAAAAGGTTAAGAATGATTTTTACAGAAGTATTTAAGACCTGAGGATGATTTTAAAACATGGTTAATCTAAAGAAAGGAGTTTGATTCGTTGTTTTGAGCTTTTATGCATATTTTTAGGGTTTTGAATACAAATCTAATGCATAAAATCATGTTTATAGTTGTTGAGTTGTTTCCAGATGTTTTGAATACAAATCTAATGCATAAAATCATGTTTATAGTTGTTGAGTTGTTTCCAGATGTTCATATCTATTGTGACATGTTTGCATACAAGTTTCATGAAGATTTAATCATGTTTGAAGTACAAAAACATGACGTGAACACGACATACACAAAAAATTGAGAATTGGAATCAGGGTTCACGGTCGACTGCCACGGTCGACCGCGTGCAGGACAAAGACCTGGGTAGTCTCTGGAGCCCGTCGCGGTTGACCGTCACGGTCGACCACCAGTTTGTTTTTGGCTGTGCATGTTTATAAGGGTTGGAATTGGATGTCGAATGGATTTCTCGACCTTATGATGATAGACTATGATATTAGTGATTGTTAAACACCTGGGATGATGGTGAACTTCAGATGTGGTCATGCACACCGAGATTTTGTGCTTGTATGCTAGATTGTGTTAGATTGACACACTTTCGATATGAGTTAATTTGATAAATATGAATAATGTTGTTCTATACGTATCCGAAAATAGGGAGATAAAACTTATTTGCCGCAGAACGATTGAGTAAGAGTATTACAAAAGTATCGTTATTACACGTATCCGGAATAGGGAGATAATAAAACCTATTGCCGCAGAGCGATTGAGTAAGAGCATTACGAGAGTATCGCTATACCACAAGATGATGCACACATAGATAATTGATCAGTTGTAAGCTTTACTTTCATGATAGATTGCCCGCGAGTAGGGTATTTTCTTTGAGATTTTGATACACCCATTATAAACGGTAGATATTTTTGTTTTAGCAATTGTTGATATCCTCTTATGTTAGAGCAGATCACTCGGACGTAGTTCGAGATGAGATGATTATTCTTTATATTAGAGATTAGGGTAGTTATCATTGATTATTTATTTTTCATTCATAGAGAGTTATATGAATGATTTGATATATGTATGTACTGACTCTATTTTTTATATACTCCTACCCTTTCCCCTGGGGAGAGGTAGTGATGATCTCGCTAGCGCTTTGACGCTCATTATTTCCACCCCTTTTTAGGCAGCGAGTCTAGCGCACGAAGAGTCGCAGGTTGATGGGACATCTTAGTTGTCCGTTTAGCTATTTATCACATTTTATAGTTATTGCAGAACTCCACATGTAGTTGATTATTTTTAGACTCTAGATTGATATTTTATTTCATAGAGTTGAGAGCTATTGTAAGACTTTGTTTATTTGACTCATTGTATTTAAAATTTAGTTCAGACTCAGAGATATATCTATTTTATTCCAGCTGGGCTCATTATTAATATTTCTTGTGCTTCTTCTGTGTATATTCGGTGTTGTTCTATTTCTAGTTTTGCCTGTCTGTACCTTCATCTATTTATTGTTTCCACTAGAGAGATAATGACACGGTTGTGTACTTGCAACCTTTTTGGTACATGTTTATGCACCATCAAGTTTTTGGCGCCGTTGCCGGGGAAGGTGCTTAAGTAGGTTTTAATTATTTTGGTTCTTTAACTTGTGTGTTTATTGTGAAAGAACTACTTGGAAATTAAAGATCAAGGTTATCCCAATAGGATTGAAATTTCCAATGAAGTCCGGGAGTTTGTAGAGAGTCCATATCAGTATTCGGTAAATGATCCATTTTTTCCAACCTACAACCCAGGTTGGGCAAGTTACACAAACATTGCATGGAATCAGGGAAACCACTCCGAAACTCAAAACTTCACTCCCTCTTTGACCCAACATTTTCCTAGGGAAAACACAGTTCCTTTCAATTCTCATCCACAATTTCAACAACCCAATCTGTCACATCAAAATCAGTCTCCTCATCATCAAGTTGTAACTCACACTCCTCTTGATACAGATCATGATGAACGTCTCAATTTTTTGGAAAAAGGTTTTGAAATCATTATTAAGGCCTCCACACTAGCCACGGATATGTTAACTCAAACATCCTACACGATGAACTCCTTTATGCAATCAACCGAACTCATACTTAACTCTAACACTCAAGCCCTAGCTAGATTAGAAACCCATATTGATCAACTAGCTAGTGCCATAAGTGAAGTAGAGGAAGGAGAAATTCTGAGTCAACCCGTGGTCAATCCTAAGGACACTCAAATGAATGCACTACAGTCAGGAAAACAGGTCGATAATCA